CTGACTGAAGGGCTCTCGACTTCGGGGTCCGGGAACGCGCGAGTTGGCACAGTGCCGCTGGGAGGGTTGGGGGGAACCGCCCATCTGTCACGAGTGAAGGCAATGATTGAGTGAAGCTCGTACGAACACCACCGATGGCAAATCGACTGCCACTCGGGGTTAATTATTCATTACAACACTAACATCCATATGGAGGGCCTTTTAAATTAAAGGCCGTCTCCTTGTTAATAACGTACCCTGTAGCCTTAAGTTTGTGGGGGGGGGGCACATTTGAATGGCTTTCGTCACTAGTCACTAGAAGCCTGACGAGGTCTCCGAGCAAGGTTGATGCCAATATGAGCCTACTTAGAAACATTACCCATGTACAACATTCTGGGAACAAAACTTCTATGAATTTTTGACTGGTTCTAACAATAAGGAATTCTTCGTATACGAGACAAATCATGAACTTATTTTCTTATAAATCATGAATCTGACGGTGTCGTGCCCAAATTGCAGCACCGTGAGGTCACGTAGCTACGTGACTCGCTGTTGTAGGCGGCCACTCAATTTTGCCTTCTTCCCTTATTACGTTTGTTTAGTGAAGTTTGAGTGTTAACTGCCGATCACAGTGGCCGCGCGGTCTATGTTATGAAATGTTTCACCCGCTCGAACACTGGGATCGTGGGTTCGAACCCCGTTCAAGACATGGATGTCTCTCTGCGTTTATTCTGTTTGTGTAGGTAGCGGCCCTGCTTCGGGCTGATCCCTTGACCAAGGAGTCCTACCAACTATCTAAGATAAGGCCGCGTCATAGCTCAAGCGGTTAGTCGCTGACTTCCCACCGCAGCGGCCCGGGTTCGATCCCGGGTCTGGTCAAGTGGGATTTGTGGTGAACAAAGTGGCGCTGGGGCAGGTTTTCTCCGAGTACTTCGGTTTCCCCTGCCAATCTTCATTCCACCATTTGCTCCACAATCACCCTCACCTATCATCTGGGGCTGGTACAATAGGCCAGAAGTGGCCGCAGTACAAGGGACTTAGTCCCACCCACTAGCAATAAAAAACTGTCTAAGATTAAGAAACTGAAATGAAAAGAAGCGTTTCATGGATGCCATATGCTCCAACTACCATAGATAGATTGATAGATGAATAGATAGATAGATGGATGGGTAGATAAATAGGAGGATAGACAGACAGATAGATAGACAGAGTGTTAACTATAATCTGCAATAAACATCCTGAAAATATTATTTCAGAGTTTTTATAGTTGTTTTATAAATTATATATTTGCATAATGATATGATAAAGGTAAAGTTGTCCCTGTGCTTAACTGACTAAGCACTAAGCCATAAAGGTGTATGGAGGGAGTGGAGATGCAGTAGTGTGGACGATTGCTATGTCTTGCACTCACCTGAATACGAGCTTCAGTCAGGCCGATTTTCATCGCCAACTCCTCTCTGAAAAGAAAAGGAATATATATTTGGCAAGAAACAAGAAAACAAAAAGCTGCATTGTGTAACTAATCTCAGTAGCAGGAAGTGAGAATACGACACAATATTATAGGCCATGGGAACGTTTGGAGAACTGACAGCAAAAATATAAATTACTAAGGACGATCAGACTGTCAGAGATGTTTTCCGTCCTTACTAGAGAAACGTCAGCAAGTCAAAGTCAACCAAGAGCGTCTTGATAAGTCGGAAATATGTTGAAGATCTGAAGTAATTCCGGCCTTAAAAGTGAATAAACACTAATGAAACCTACGCATGAAAATACACATAGAATTGATTTTTTGTGTAACATACTCGTACTATAATTAAAATATGTGAAAGGACTCAGATGTCTAAGTAGAAACGTTCATTTACGCCATTAAATTGGACCTAAAATTCCCAAATCAAATTGGTTCGATAGATTACGCAGTAGGTTGTACATGTAGAAAATTAATGTTTATGGACACTCTAATTTCGATGCTGGAGTTTCGGGAAAAAATGACGAAGCCAACAGGTTATTTTCGAATTCCTTTTCGAAGTGTACCCGTTAGTACTGTCCCTTCAGTTTGTTTACTGCTTTATAAAGAGCGTAAAGATTGTGTTGTAATCGCAACATACTAAATGAGATAAAAACAGAGTATCTGGTGGCAATGAATATGTTTGAGTCTGTGTTTAGAATTCTTTTAAAATATCCAGATATTTACGAGCGAATATGAGAAAAAATGGGACCTCTTCCAGCTTTCGTTTAACGCGTGTCGTAATATAAATGAAGTATATCCAAATTAATCTTACGCAGAAACTGCCTTCTAAAAGAAGTTATTGAAGGAAAGATAGTGGGGCGGATAGAAGTGACCAGAAGACGAGGAAGAAGACGTAAGAAGATGCTGGATGACCTTGGGGACAGAAGAGAATACTGTCATTTGAAGGAGAAAGCTCTAGATCGCATTAAGTGGAGGAATTGTTTTGGAAGAGACTGTGGACCTGTCGTCTGACAGATTACTCATGAATGAATGAATGTCCAAATTAATTACTAACAATCTAGTGACATTTTTATGTCAATTGATATGCCTGTGGTTATGTAGTCTTACAGAAATGAGTATCTTGAATCTTCCTAGGGGTGAAGGACGGTCGGTGCGTAAGACTGTTAAACTCACCGCCATCTGTGAGCAGATTATGTATAAAATGTGGAAGCCTCGACGTCTCATAACCTTATGGGCCTTCAGGGGCTGTTACAGGGATAGCTTTACCCTTTTTTAAGCAAGTTATCACGTCAATCCGTTTAACGTTTCTGGAGTTGTTGGATGCGGATAAAAGGGTGGACAGACAGACAGGTGTGACGAAGCTAACAGAAGCAATTCTGCAACCTCTCGTCGTAAATGCGACAGAAACTGAACAATATTATAAATTCCGAGTACTTATGCAATAATCCGTTACAATTAGGAAGATTATCTGGGAGTTCATAGCCCAGTAATGACATAATACACCTTTCCATACACGTTCTCTAGCTTTTTCGGAAGTTAAGGTAAAAAAAATATAAAGCTATCCCTATAACAGGCTGTAAAGGCCCATAGGGTTGTGAGATGTTGAGGGTCCCACATTTTCTAGACAATCGGCTCACAGATGGCGGTGAGGTTGTCAGCCTTACGCGCCGGCCGCCCTTTACCCCCAAGAAGATTTCTGGTACTCACTTCTGTTAGAGGTCATAGTGGGGCTGGAAGGATTAGGTAAACTGAAAAATCTAATGATCTCCTAGGGAATCGAATCAGTGACTTTTTCTTTCTGGAAGGGGAAGAAGAAAAGGATTTTTGGGGGTGGGGATTGGGAACACAACCGTTGAGGATTCAAAATGGTTTTGGCTGACATTCTTTATGGTAAAAATATAGGTAAAGTAAAGCTATCCCTGTGCTTAACTAATTAAGCACTACGCCATGAAGGCGTGTGGGGGAACAGATGTATAGATCCACATTTTCTTGATCTCGGCACTAGCTGGAGTTGAGTGGTCAGCCTCACGCCCTTGCCGTTTTACTCCCAGGGATAGCTCCCTTACGCGTACCCATTGGGCAATTGGCTGGGTGGACCCCAGGACAGATCTGGATGCTGTGTAGAAGAGAAAACCTTTTCTCCTGCCGGGAATCGAAACACACACTCAGTAAAAGTAAAGTAAAGCTATCCCTGTGACAGGCCCATAGGGTTATGAGACGTTGAGGTTCCCACATTTTCTAGACAATCGGCTCAAAGATGGCGGTGAGGTTGGTTGTCAACCTTACGTACCGGCCGCGCTTTACTCCCCAGAATATTCCTGGTACTCATTTCTGTTAGAGATTGAGTAGCTCCTAGGGCCATAGTGCGGCCAGAAGGATTATGTTAATTGAAAAATCCAATAACCTCATCGGGACTTGAACCCTTGACCTTCCGGCTTGTAGCATATTGTCTCAACCAACTACGCTACCGCGGTACACACTCAGTATTATATTAAATTTTATTTCATTAAGCTGTATCGCAGATGTGAAATGCAGACTGATAGTAATGACTTTTCATTATGCGTTCATTTTAATTTCTTCGTGGAAATAACGCAGGTACAACTGTAACTAGCACATGTTAAAAGAAAAAAACAAGTTGAAGGCCTGGCGTGTTGGTGCTCATCAGATGTTATGTTGTACAGCACCTCGAGGGCTGTACACCTCATCATCATTATGCGATAAACATCACCACCATCAGCGAACCTTTACAAACGTATTGTTCAAACAAAAGTGATTAAAGCGATCATGAGGAGATGCGAGCCACAAGGCGGTAGTTTTACATTCAAAACACTCATAGAAATATAGATCTATGTACAGCATGGAATACGCACTACGTCTTCACTTTACAATATTCATGCACACTGAATAGGACTCCTAATGTTATCGAAATATTAACAACGCATATGCGCAATTCTCGCCACGTCTAATCGTAAGCAAATTAATCATTTCATATAATGAATGGATGGAAATGAATATATCCATGGTGTAGAGGGCTTCTTGAAAAGATTAATAATTTGCCGTAAGTCACAAAGATATTTTTAAATGCTAAACGAGACCATATGCTACAAATTACAGAACTAGCAACTGCGAGAAAGGGCCGTTCCATAGTTCAGGGGATTGGTGGCCTGCTTCCAACAGCGGCAGCCCGGGTTCGAGCCCCGGCCTGATCATGTGGGATTTATGATGGACAAAATGTCGATGTAGCAGGTTTTCTCCGAGGATTTCGGTTTCCCCTGCCAATTCTCATTCTACCGACTGCTCCACAATCACCATCACCTATCATCTGGGGCTAGTACAATAGGCCAGTAGTGGCCGCAGTACTAACTGGACTCAGTCTCATGTCAAACCAAGAAAAAGAAACTAGAAGCTTTGTGAAAGTTTAAGGTTGTATCTGATAAATATAAAGTAGTAAGAATTAATAGAAGTGTAAATTACGGACGCCGGTCACAGTGGCCGCGCGCTTTAAGGCATGAACTCTCTTCGTCTGCTGAAACACTGGGATCATGGGTTCGAATACCACTCGAGGCATGGATGGCTCTTTGAGTTTATTCTGTATTTGAGCTGTCCTGTGTGCAGGTAGCGGCCTTGCGACGGGCTGATCCCCCGTCTAAGGAGTCCTACCGACTGTGTAAAAAGATCAAGAAACTGAAAAGGCGGCCAATGTCAATAAATAACAAGCATAAACAGATCACTAAACTATATAATTATACAGAATCACTGGGTTTTTGGACTTTGTACATTCGTCCGGTATTCTAAGAAATAGAGAACATAATGTTTCGGAAATTGGATTTTTCCGTCCTTTCCTCCGCTATTTCTAAGGGACCCAACTGAATAGGTGCCTCCTTCCTCACCTGAGGACGGAAAAGATCCAGTTTCCGAAACGTTGTGTCCGCTCGTTTCTAGAATACCAGATGATAGACGAAGTCCCCGAAACCCCGTAATTCCGCATGTTATACACCATATTCAGAACCCTTTAGTATCTGCCTGTTTAATTATTAATTTGCTGACTCTGGACACATACAATAAATCAATTGTTGGCATCGTAATATTTTCCTAGAATTTAATGCCTAAAAATATATCTGTGTCCACATAACTGACGTTTCAGAGCCTATACGTGCGGATAATCATCTATGCCTTGAAGATGTCCACGTCGCAATGACTACATATAGCATATACTTGTATATACCGTGCACGTCCGAATATGAAGCGACCCTCAATTTTTCCAATGAGAAAAATATTAGAAAATTGAAAATGTCGCTTGGTTCTGAAGGCTATAAACAAAAATAAGTAAAATATATACAATTAAGAAATGAAAAATTCAGAACTTAATATTTTAATTATCATAACTAAGTATTTTCATAAATATCACTAGAATTGGCAATTAGAACTTCTTGTAATCGTCTTCTTAGGCCCCGCAATAGCTAAAGCGGTTAGTCGTTGGCTTCCCACCGCGGCGGCTTGGGTTCGATCCCGGGTCTTATCAAGTGGGATTTGTGGTGGACAAAGTGGCGCTGGGGTAGGTTTTCTCCGAGTACTTTGGTTTCCCCTGCCAATCTTCTTTCCACCAAATTTTTCATTATCATAATCACCCGGGGCAGGCTACAATAGGCCAATCAGTGACCGCCGTGCCGAGTGGACCAAACTGGACTCCACACCCCAATATGCGAATTAAAAAAAATAATTTTCTTCTTCAGATCCACTCTTAATGACCTAAAATAAGGCAAACCTCTGTTCTCAAAAGCAGTGTTAAGAAAAAACTTGCTTTATATTCGGGCTAATATCTTATGTTACATTAATCTCTCATTATCGTAAATAACAACAGAGACAAGCCGGTCAAGTTAGCCGAGCGGTCTAAGGCATGTAGTGTCTTCGCTCGCTCCGAAGTCGGGATCGTGGGTTCGAATCCCACACAAGATGTGGATGTTTGGTGTGTGTTTGTGTTGTCCTGTG